CAGTTCCACTTTCAGAAGTAATATATCAATGTAACAACAGATTATTTACTCAGTTTCCATGCTGGAAACTGCATTTTGCATGAAGCGACGTCGAAATACAAGTTGACCTGTAATGTCTGAAAAAGATTCTTTTGCGAAATGATCGTTATATATAATACTGTCATTACCAACTCTTTTGCTCAATGAGGCAAAGCATTTTTCCCGTTGCTGTTTACATTTCCGCAAATTGTTGAAAACAAATTGTGCTTAGTATTACATTGGAACGAATTTCGGAAGATGATTTTATCACTTGATTTTTACTTATGAAACGATCGTTGCGTATCGCATTTCAAATGCATATACATCACAAATGCAGCATTGGTACACCATTGCAAAATTATAATAATACTATTTTTCAGTCTGTTTGACAGCGTTCAGGATATATGGGTCTGTACTTTTATGTGGGTTGTACTCCCCACCACAGGTGCGGTTGAAGAGAGAAGGAGATAACTCCTACAAACAACTTACTCTTCCTAAGCCTCCTTCTATATGAGCAGTTTATACTTATTATGTCTATGGCCGCAACGCGATCGAAGCAGCCAGTTAGCATCGCGGAAAGAAGGCTTCACCCAATTCGATACATTCGAAATTTAGTAAACACGCACTTTTTATTCAGGGGACTAGCACACAGCACGCGCTATGCGCGCACCTTCCATTTCCTTTTTTAGTATTTTATTACACTTTAATTACATCGCGAAAAATTCACACACAAACTTATAATCTGCATTGTCTCCCCAGTGACTCTCTGTCTCTCCCTGCCTCTCCTGTCTCTCTCTGTCTCTCTCTGTCTATCCTTGTCTTTTCCTATTTTTCCCAGTCTTTCCCTCTCTCTCCACATTTCTCTCCGTCTCTTCCCGTCACTCCCCGTCTCTCTCTCTGACTCTCTGTTTCTCCCTCTCTCTCTCTGTCTCTCCCTGTCACTCCTTGTCTCTCCCTGCCTCTTCCCATCTTTCCCTGTCTCTGCCTGTCACTCCCTATAATCTGCATTCTCTCTGCCTGTCTCTCCTTGTTTCTCCATCTGTTTCTCCCTGTCTCTCCATGTCTCTCCCTGTCTGTCCCAGTCTGTCCCTTTCTTTTACTGTCTTTCCCTGTCTCTCCCTATCATTCGCTATCTTTCCTTGCTACTTTTTATCTCTCCTCGTATCTCAATCTCTCCCTGGCTTTCCCTGTCCCTCCCTGATTCTTTCGGTCTCTCCCTGCCTCTCCCAGACTCTCCTATTTCTCCATGTCTCCCCCTGTCTCTCTCTGTCTCTCCCTGCCTCTCCCTGTCCCTCCTTGTCTCTCTCTGTCTCTTCATGTTGTTTCCTGTCTTTCCCTGTCTCTTCTTTGGCTCTCCCTGTCTTTCCCTGTCGTTCCCTGTCTCGCCCTGCCTTTCCTGTCTCTCCCAGTCTTCCCCTGTCTTTCCCTGACTCTCCCCGTCTCTTCCTGTTTCTCCCTGTCTCACCCCGTCTGTCCCTGTCTCTTCCTCTTTCGCAGTCTCTCCCTACCTCTCCTTGTCTCTCCCCATCTCGTCCTGTATTTCCCTAGCTTACTCTGTCTCTCCCTGTAACTTTCTTTACTCGGGATTGCCTCTCCCTACCTCTCCCTGCCTCTTTTGTCTCACCTTGTCTCTCTCTGTCTTTCTCTGTCTCTCCCCGTCTCTTCCTGTTTCTCCCTGTTTCTTCCTGTTTCTCCCTGCCTCTCTCTGTCTTTCTCTGTCTCTCCCCATCTCTCTCCGTCTCCCGCCGTCTCATCCTGTCTTTCCTTGCCTCTCCTGCCTTTCCTTGTCTTTCCCTGTCACACAAACCTGTAATATGCATTCACGTTCGAGTACAACCATGGATATAGTATACATAGACCCCACATACGGCCAGAAAAGTGAAGCCAAGATGTTGAAGTGACCATAGAGATGGTCTATAATATTATGGAAACGAGAAATTGATGCACGCGGAACAAAAAGTGACAAAATAAGAAGAAAACTATAGCCCCTCTCTTCTCGTTCTCTTTCTAGATATTGGCTTCTCTATTAGACGACAGAACATAGAGCATTCAGAGTCCATGTATACTATGTCCATGAATACAGCACAACCTCTTAACTGTCATCGTTGC